AGATGTCGATCTGGATTGCAAAGTTTGGTACTAAGTGAGTCACCAAAAGTCATCGAAACTCACTGTGTGATTCATCGGCAAATATTAGCAATGAAGACGCTGCCACAAGAGTTACAAGAAGAAACGAAAAGTGTCATAAGTTGTGTCAATTTTGTAAAGGCGAGCACTTTAGTCAACTGTTTTCGCAACTGTGCAATGAGTTAGATGCGCCAAACAATGCTCTGCTATTTCACACTGAAGTGAGATGGTTGTCGAGAGGAAAAATTTTAAAACGTCTTTTTTATCTTTGTGATGAACTCAAAACGTTTTTTAATCAGAAAGCAAGACCGCAGATCGAAGCACTTTTCAGCAATAAAAGTGAACTGCAGAAAATAGCTTATTTGGTTGACATCTGTTCCTGGGACAGCACAAGAGAGTTCATTGAACTTATTAACAATGATGCAGCGAGAACTGATTTCTCTACAATGCCAGTTACAAAATTCTGGATCAAGTGTTTGCAGTCATATCCTGTTCTGTCTGAGACTGTGTTGCTCCTCCTTCTTCTATTTCTAACAACATATCTTTGTGAAACAGGGTTTTCCAGCTTGTTGTCTATCAAATCTAAATACAGAAGTAGACTTGTTGTGGATGATGATCCTTGTTGTGCTCTTGCAAAGACTGCCCCGAGGATTTCTGATCTGGTGAGAAAGAAGCAATCTCAACCTTCACACTGACGTTGGCTTTTTACGCATACTGTTGCAAAATGTAGCAATGTAGTTTACTGTTGTTATATTAAGACTGTTACCCATGCTACACTATGCTTCAAGACACAATTTCATTTTTTTGTAATTAGAAATAAATGTTTCACAATATATAATTACATATTGTTTTTGTGATTAATCACTATGCTTTGATTATGTTCAATTTGTAACAATATAAATACATCCTGCATATCAGATATTTAGATTATGATTCATAACAGTAGCAAAATTACAGTTATGAAGTACCAACAAAAATAATTTTATGGTTTGGAGTCACCATAACATGAGGAACTGTATTAAAGGGTCACAGCATTAGGAAGGTTGAGAACCACTGGCCTAAATACTCCTTGGGTAAAGGATGTGTTTCTTGTTTAAAAACCAGATTTTTTTCCTCCTGAGATTGATACACTTGCTATACATTTTCTTATTGGATAATCAGTCATGGTTTATCCACTTTCACATGCTGGGGTAGGGTACACCTCTGGCAGTTTGGGTCATGTAATATATATCGTCAGCATTTTCAGAATTCCCATTGTCAACAGAAACCAGGTCCTCACCCAAGACGTCTATTCCAAATACTGTATGCCTGGTTTAAGCTAAAAAAATGAGATATCTTAGTGAAAGAGTAATCTCTGGTATTACCAGATTCAGTTGTCAACACAGACATTTCTAATGGCTCGCCTTTTAGTTACTTTTCTCTGTAAGAAGGAGTGGTCTTTTGATTTAAGTGTTAGAAGTTGGAGAGAAGAGACATTATGGCTCCTTTATTACTTAACCATACACAGGTAAACTATAGACCCAAACAACCTTCCTTTTTAGAGAAAGAACACTAAATACTTTTGACCCTCTTTTTTATGTGTAAATGTGTCCTTTTTACTTACTTCTTCTTGATATCTTTTAAATTCTGTGTTTTTAAAGAACTACTTCATTTGAATTTTTCCATTTATAAGTAGGGACCATTTTTACCTCTTTTTGGTAGTTGCCTTGTTCCTGTCATTTTAAAGCAATAAGGTGATTTTCTATTGTATCTTCTCTGGTCCTTACATTTCCACAATTTGTTCATTGGCTTATATAACCTAAATCAGGAGATTTTTTTTCCAATTAACTCATTTGACTTCTTACTTCGGGAAAAAAAATGTGATTTTTACAAGTAATTTTGATTTGACTGTTTCATCTAATCTGGCTTTGTGAAGGAAGATGTCAAAGAGGGTGACAGTACCAATCATCTGCCACAAATGAGTTTATTCTGTGTCTTACTTATACCCAGGGTCTTGCACTATATCTCAATATGAATTTTACAGTCAGTTAACCAGAATGATATTCTAAATACAGTGTGTTAATTTTTTTCTTCAGGGAAAGGAAAAAGGCAAATTGCAAAACTTAGTCATTTTCAAAGTCCTATAAATAGTTTAAGAGTCTCAGATGTATTTTTTAAAAATTCTTTATTGTTTAAAGTATTACATACAGTATTAAATATGTATCCTTTTCCCCCAATTGACCTCTCCCTGGCCACCCCCACCCCCCAGCACATACCCACACCCAGCTAGTGTCTGTGTCCATTGGTTATGCTTATGTGCATACATATAAGTCCTTTGGTTGATCTCTTACACCTCACCCCCTCCCCTGCTTTTCCTCTGAAGTTTGACAGTCTGTTTGATGCTTCTCTGTCTCTGGATCTATTCAGATGTATTTTTACAGACATGAACAAGGACAGTACAGAGTACCAAACCTTATTTCTTAGATCTAAAACAAAATTAAGCAGTTGTGCCAAGGTCTTTTCAATATAGTTCTAAACTGAGAATTGGTAGGGAACAACACTGATATTACCAAAATTTAAAAATACTATCTTATTTTGTTTACACACTAACCCCATGGAATCAATTTCAGCCTAAATGTCTGTGAGGTCACTTGTTTGGTTGTTTTTCATTTTATTTTTCAACATTTTTTCATTAAAACCACCCTGTTTTACAGTTGAATTTGAAAATATGAGAGAGGAAAAAAAATTCAGTAGGATCAAAATATTTATGCACTATAAAAACCCAGTAGCTGTCCTTAGTCAGGAACCTAGTGACAGAGAATAAACTATAGAAAGAAGTTGTTGGGTGTACTAGAAAAAAAATATCTATTAATGGCTTTCATTTCATAGCCTCATATAGCACCTAGGCTGTAAAAGAAATGTGACTCTCTCTGCCCCTGTCCTACTCTTCCAGTTCACTGAGTAGAAATTCCATTCTAATGTGACTGCTTCACTTAAATAGGAAGGCATTTAACCACCTGTCACTTTCTCATCCAGTAATCTGACATCTGCCTGTTTCCAACGCAAGTTTCACAGGCCTAGAATTATTGCTTATTATATTCTAAGCATGAGGCAGCCTCTGTGTCTGTGTTTGTGGCCGTGCATGTGAGAGAAATTATGTATGGACACCTTTTTACAAATTAATTAATTATTAAATCAGTTAATAGAATGACAAATTCCTCCTGGTAATAATAAAACAATCCTAAATAACAAAGCTAAGTAACAGCTAATAGTCTGACTTTTCAAAGAAGTTCAGGGATAGAGTTTGCTGTATGAAAGAAAAACTGAAACTCTATTTGGAACTAAAATGGCAAGAATATAAAGCTTATGGTGCATGAATTAAGCAAATGTATTCTTGGAAAGTCACTCCAGAAATTGTGTTCAATAACTACCAAGTCTGTTGTCATTGGCTGTCACCATGCATGGACACTTTCGTATGAGACACACCTCACACTTCACTGAAGTAAGATCTTTACCTCTTCCAACCATAAAGAATTGAGTCATTATGCTAAGCAAAATAAGCCGATCAGAGAAAGATAAATACCACATGATCTCACTCATTTGTGGAATAAAGTAAACAACATAAACCGATGAACAAAAATAGATCCAGAGACAGAGAAGCATCGAACTGACTCTTAAACCTCAGAGGGAAGGCAGTGGGGGAGGGGCAGAGGGGGAGGAGGGGGCGGGGTAAGAGATCAACCAATGGACTTGTATGCATGCATATAACCATTATCAATGGACACAGTCACTAGGGGAGTGAGGGCATGTGCTGGGGGGTGGGAGTGGCTGGAAAGAAGTCAATGGAGGAAAAAAATAATAATATTGTAATAGCTATGTACGAGCCAGGAGGGGTACTTGAAATATTAGGGGGACCACTCTGTAAAGCATATGATTGTGTAACCACAATGTTGTGGACCTGAAACCAATACAGAATAATATTGAATGTGAACTATAATGGAAAAAAAAGATGGAGAATTGTATGTTATGTGTTTTGCATCATCATAAAAAAAGAAGTGCTTTTTAAACCAAATTGGTAAACATTTAATGTGGCCTGAATTTAGCAGAAAGAGAAATTTAATAATGGTATCAGATTTTTCTTACTTACTGGCTTTTATGAAACACACCTTTTCTTGATGCTATTGAGCTTTGATATACCACTGAGAAATGTTCTTTTTTGTTGTCTTTTGCTTAATCCCTTCACTATTTAAACAGCCCCCACAACACCTTTCGCATCTGACAACTGTCAGCCTGTTCTCTGTATCTATGTCTTTTTCTATTTTGTTTGATAGTTTATTTTGTTCATTAGATTGCACATATAACTGAAATCATATTTGTATTTATCTTTCTGTGAGTTGCTTATTTTACTTAACATAATACTCTCCAGGTCCATCCATGCTGTTGCAAAAGATAAGATTTCCTTTTTGACAGCCTAGTAGTATTCCATTATATAAACATAGCACAGCTTTTTTTTTATCCACTCATCTACTGATGGGCACTTGGGCTGCTCTCAAATCTTGGTTATTGTAAGTAATGCTGCAGTGAACATAGGGGTGCATATATTCTTTTGAATTAGTGTTTAAAGATTCTTAGGATATATTACCATAAGTGGGATAGTAGCTAGGTCAAAAGGCAGTTTTCCACAGTGACTGTACCAATCTGAATTCCCACCAACAGTGCACAAGGGTTCTCCTTTCTCCACATCCTCACCAACACTTGTTTGTTGATTTATTGGTGATAGACATTCTGATAGGTGTGAGATGATATCTCATTGTGGTTTTAATTTGCATTTCTCTGATGATTAGTGATGAGTATCTTCATATGTCTATTTGCCATCTGAATGAGAAATCTTTCTATGAGAGAATTTTATAAAGTGGCCTTTTTTTTCAGAGTTGTTTAGGGAAATGTAAATTATCTTTAATAAAAATGCTTCTCTCAAAGGGGATATACTATACTTCAGATTGGTTTATACCTGGGAAGATTGTTTTCAATTTCTCTCTTAATTCCCAATGTGTATGGTTTAGTGATATCTGTTGTACCTAATCTTTCCACCACTCTCAGACTTCTTTTTCCCAGAATTCTATGTATGATACAGGAAGATATGATTCCAACAAAATCTAGTTGCTTTCTTGTAAGTGCTCAATCTAGATCTGTCTTTTGATATACACATTTAAAAATAAACAATAAGCTCGGCAGGTGTGGCTCAGAGATTAAACCTCAACCCATGAACCAGGAGTTCATGGTTCGACTCCCAGTCAGGGCACATGCCTGGGACTGGCTTGATCCCCAGTAGGGGGCATGTGGGAGTCAGCCAATGTATAATTCTCACTCATTATTGATGTTTCTATATCTCTCTCTCCCTTGCTCTATATGAAATCAATAAAAATATTAAAAAACAATAAGTAGATATGAATTTAGCTTTAAAGTTTTTCCTGTGAGGATATATATTAGACTGGACAGCCGAAGGACCGTCCAGACATCCTTCTGGATGACCGTCCGGATGACCCTCTGGATGAAGCCAGGACTGCAAGGGCTGGCCGAGGCTGCGAGGGGCTGCAAGGGCCTGCGAGGGCCGGCTGAGGCTGTGAGGTCCAAGCCTCTGGCATGAATTTCGTGCATTGGGCATCTAGTATATATATAGTGAAAAAAAATGACTTGCTATTAGACAATACCAGAC